ATGGGCAAAGGCGCTCAGGTGCGCTTAAAGTCTTATTGCCTATATCTTATCTTAAGACGAGGTAGCCAGCCCGCCTGCTTTAGTCTCAAATAGGGCGCAAATTGAGGTGAACAGACTGGACCGAACCTCCCTACGTCAAGAGCTTTTGGATCTTCACAAGAGAGCACCAGGTCGTAACACTGGAAGACTGCGCCGTTATTAGTTATTATAAAAATGATATAATTTCTTTGTATGCTTAGTCACCAGTGGCACAACCTACGGGCTAAGTAGCGCCTTAATGGGAGTATTTTTTTCCTCTGCGATAGTGTAATACCAAGACCAGTAAGAGAGAATAGACTTCATCCATTCGGACAAAACCCATGCCCCCCTAACCAGTCGTACTCTGATCATGCTTCGAAAAACTTCGAGATCACCGAGTTTCTCGGGAATCGAGGGGTCAAGAGCCTAATCAGGTCCCCTCACCATACCTTGTTGATAAAAGGTTAAGTGTTTACCAGTGGTTGCGCTTAACCAGATCCAAAAGGGGAGAGGACACACACCGTTCGGTGAGTGAAAGATGAGGAAATGTCGATTCCAGTGTCTCCTAGGAGGCGCCGTGCGTCGAGTATACACCCGGTACCCAGCTTCCCATAAACGATACGACAATGGAAGATCCTTAGAAATAATTGCCCTCATTATAGGAACAAGGGATATGGAACTAACTAAGGATCTTAACATGTGACAGGAGACAGGAAAAAAGTCCTTAGTCACTCCGCGTATGAAGAACCGCTTAGCAAACTCCAAAGCACCAACTGACGATACTAACAATTTCTCTAACGAAAATGGAACATTCAGTGGCGAAATTAGCTCGCAATAATGCTCAGCCACCCGCTCATCTCCGATGACGATATCGTCGCCGAGGATAGCGTAGCGTGTAAAAGAAACTCCTGGATATACTTGGGCTGCTACGAACCAAATCACCAAATGGTGAGTTAATGCAAAAGCAGGCCAAGCTCCGTAAAAGCCCAACGGGGCTCCTATTACAAAACGAACTCTACCTCGAGGAAGCCGACGATGAGAATTTAGAATCGTCAGAAAAGAGTAGTAAGCATATTTTCACAATAGTCTTGTCCACAAGCAAATCAATGTTCGGCAGCGGAAAATCATCTTTGGGAAC